ATTAAAAATAAACAAAAACCTTATAGAATCTATAAAATATGCATAAAAGTATGATGACCCTTAAATCAAACATCAATACAAGTTGAGATACTAGAAACACAAGATAGAGTTCTCCACAGAAAAAACTGTTCCACCGAAATGCATGGTGGGAATACAAACAACGGGGTGCCACGTATGGCTGGATGTAAAAAACTAAAGCCAAACCGTAACTGTGAATTTACTAACCTCCTTTTCGGGCTCCTTTTGTGGAGATTGTTGCCATTATCCATAACTACAAACAAGTAGGCATAAATAAAAAAAAAAAGAATAAAATGAAGAATAGAACAGCCAGTAGAATGTAATTTTGGAGTTTTTCAGACAATAAAATTTTAATCTTAAGAATCATATGACTAGACAATGATTACTGATAAAGTTTCCATCAATAGCGGAAAGATAAGGGCGTTGCATATGTCTGGATTTACTTAGAAGGACGCCATTATACGTCTGGACCAAGAATAGATAAACTTGTCTTAATAAAAAAAAATCAAAGCACCACGTACGTCTGGACCAATTTCTGCCTCATTTTTACTATGCGAGTGCTCTATTTTTTGTTTCTATTATGGCTGATACAAGTCCCTCATTATAATTATTGTATACAATTTTGGAATTCCAAAGATTAAAATCCAGTAGTAAATGATGACTGCTTATAATTTTCAGTTTATTCTGCATTTAATTATGAGATGAGTCAAGTTACAAACGATTCTGCGTATCCAATGCACTTCAGTAAACTTAAAGCTTGTGGAGAGTCTAATTTGACATGAGAGGGGGTCACGTAACTCACTGATATTACACTCAATTTTTCTATTATCTTGATATTTCATTGCCTTTTAAAAAAATTAATTGGATTTTCCACTTCACTAAAGAACAAGCAATTTGAAGTACCATCCTCCTTTTGAAATTCCACCGAAGGACTTGGTTCAATTTTCAATAGCCACTTTCAAATCTAATTTAGAAGAACTTTTAAACTACCTATGATATCCTCCTTGTGTTTTGGCCAGGTCATTAAACAGTCAGTTTGTTCCACCAAGTTCAGTGCATGATTGATGGTCATTCTTTTGCTTTATTAGTTTCATTTAACTTAGAACAATGTTGCCTAGCTGGTATTTTTTTTTTTTTTGGGTGGGGTGGGGTTTCAAAGTTGATTTTTTTTCCCCTAGACTTCCCTGAAGTATTAAAGACAAGTTTATTTTTGTCTTATTTTAATAGTAGTGCTAATCATAAAACTTGCAGATTTTAGTGCATCAGATGCTTTGATAAAGTTACTAACTGTAGATTCTGGTAGGCTTAGTATATTAGTGTATAACAGTATATCCTTCCTCATATGGTAATTTCCTAATCTGTATGCTATACTCTGTGTCATTTGTATTGATACTGTTGTAGTAGATACACTGTCTTTATAAGGCATTTGTTTTGTAAGTACGTTTGTTCTATCAATTATAATGCAAGTCTCAGTGGGCATGGAATTTACCATAATGAATTTCAGGAATTATTAAAACAGATAAGATGAATGTTAAATACACTGGTTAATAATTATCATTTTATGATAAAGTAACTTTAATATTAATTTATCGGTTTTACTCAGTCAAAAAATGACTTGTGTATATTTTTATGTACTTGTATGTATTTTACTGCTTTCCTTAATATTTAATGTTTCAGCAAGAAATGTCTAGTATTTTTAATAAATGATAGTTCACTACTGTATAATAAAATATTTCTAGTAATCTTCCATATGCTTATTGTAGAGTTAGGTGGGATATAATTAGGCTTACATAACAGCAAATACTAAAACATTAAATGTAATGAAAAAATAAATTCTTATTGCTAAAAGTTATCATTAGTCATAAGCAATTAAATTTTTAAAGCTTATATTTAATTATCATTTTCTAAATCATTGTTTCCTTCATTATATTTCATTACTTTTGTTGGGAATTTTTAAAGAAGATTGAATCAAATATTTATACAAAATATAGATTTTTAAAAATTATTTTCATTGTAACATATTATGATTCTTTATTGATTTACCTGTACTCATGAAAGTTTAATGAAGTCTATTATATTAACATACGTTTCACTTACTTTTTAGCCCTTTGGCCAATAGCATGCAAAATTAAAATAAAATAACATAACTACTATACCTGAATTTAATTTCTACCCTGATTTTGTATTACTTTTCATTTGTATGTGACTGTTATATCTTACTATGCTAGCAGAAAAATAAAGAATAAATTAATATAAATTACTAAATTGAGATAAAAAAATTATATTAATTTAAAAAAATTATATTTATTATTTTAATGCTTTCATATTTAATTTTGCTGTAAACTCAAATAACTGTATTTTTCAGTTTCATACATTTATTTATTTTATATGTTTTAAAAAATTACAAATTATTAATAAATAGCAAAGAATTAATTATGTCATATTCATATTTTAAAGTCTTTAGATTATACTTGGTATTAACAACAGCAATAATGACCTAATCTGAAAACTGTCAAGATTTGACCTTCATTCTAAGTTCAATAACAATACATATATATATAACAATTAGTTGTTTGTATTTGAAATTTATTATTTTTATATAAAATATATATTGAATATGAAATTAAATATATTGATTATAGCATTAATAGATAAAAATGTTGTATAGTCATTCACGAATCAATGTTGATTTTTTATTGAATTAAATAATTATAATTATCAATAATAATTCTCATTTATATTACAATATAAAAGAAATGAAATTAGCACTTTTTTGTAATATATTAGTAGCTATTCAGCTTTTTTCAATAGTGACTCATAATATAATATTGAATTGAGTGAAATAATAACAATGAAAGTACTAAGGTATGTAAAAGTCAGTGTCATTATACCTGTAATTTCTTGGATTGTTGATTTTCAAACAAATTGTAAATAATCATTTCACTACCCGACAAACTCGGAACTTTATTCATTCATTAGGCCTACATAATAGTTTAATATTGCTGTACTATATACTCCAACATCACTGGCGCATGGTAACAACCAACTGACTGCAGACCATTTCCGGTCACACATTACTCTCCATAACACAGCACCCCCTAGTTCCGTCACCTCTGGATCTCAATAACAATTGATGCACAACCATTGACCATGGATAATTTATTAATATTGAACTCCAGAATGATGAAGGGCCAAAGTGATTTTTTAGGGACCTAGTGCTTTTGGTTTATAAAGCTGTTGGCTGCACTTTGCCTACTTGTAGCTATAATTTAATTTGGTTTTAGTTACCTTGCATATATTTTTTCATTTAAATGTATTTTTTGATTGTTATGTTAAACTATAATGTATATTATTTATGTATTTATATATTTTTTTTCTTTTTTACCTTGTATATACTTTATAAAGTTCATTGTTTAATATTTCTTATTTGTTAATACTGAACCACTTGAAAGTCAATGCTTTAGTACTGAAAGTGTCATTTAATATAAAGAAAGAATGAATAATATGCCTTGTGAATATTATTGAATGTGTTTTTCCTTAAAGAGACCACCCTACATGATGTAATAACCTTCATTTGGAATAATGTATATTGTGACGATTGATTGTTGCTTTTTGGTATTGTGGTTCCCTATTAATTATTCAATGGACTGATACTACCCGTACAATAACTACATATCCCATAAAACAGACCTCATTAAATATTAACATAGCATTAGAGAAGGCAGCTCTTTGAAAGTACACTATTTGCTAGAACAAGGGAGCAGATGTGTTCTCTTCAGGCCACTGAGCAGAAATCAATTGTTGCATTTTGTTATATGGTATGAACCCACATATGCCAACTCAACATTGTACGATGCAGCGATTTGTACTTAAACCAGTTTGGGGTTTGGGGTTGAGGTTCGGATTTCAATCGTAAGGTTGGGGTTTTGACTCTCCGCTATGCCAATTCGCTTGTGTCCTTGGGCAAGACACTCTAGCTACATTGCTTCAGTCCACCCAGCTGTATCAATGGGTACCAGCAATCTGCTGGGGACTAACCTGCGATGGACTAGTGTCCCGTCCAGGGGGAGTACAACTCTCATCCATTTCACACTACAGAAACTGGGGATAAGCTCCAGCTCTATGAACCCAGTGGCTTGCAAAGGATTTAGTACACAAAAAGATTAATTACTAAAGTATGACGCGATTTGTCGTTGGCGACATTCTTTAGGTCGTGGTGAGAATATTAAACATGTTAAGGGACTTTCCACGGCTCAGAACCAATGTGGCAACAAATCGCATTGGGCTGTGTCATTCAACACTGTCAGAGTTGGCCTTAAAAGTATAATACCACTCACTCTTAAACTTAGCCTCTGAACATTTTGCAGTAAAGCCTCTAAAATATGTTTAAAATGCAAGGAAGCTTGATTGAATCAAGGGTGCTTGATTGATGTAGTTTTTAGTGTGCCATCAAATAACTTGGAAATATATATGTTATGGAGTGGGAGAATATTGAATTACATTAGTAAATTTGGGACCAATCACAGTTCGAGTACTGTATGTATATTTCACTAAACCTGTCTCGATTGCAGAGTTGTATTGCGTACATTATTCATTAATATGATTATGAAATGAAATTTCACAAATTACAAAATCAATGAACACATAAATAATACCTACAATAGAAATTTAATATTTCTTCACTTTCAATTTAGATAGATATAGTAATTAGAATTTCATACAAAGTATTCTACTGTACATATATTATTATTATTGCTATTAATTACAAAAAACTGATTTCCAATTTGATATAGCAACAACAGTTCCTATTGCATCTGCTGTGTAGTGAGTTTACTTGATTTACTGTCTATAATTAACAGCAAGCGCAGGTTACTGCAGCTTTTGTAGAGACAGGGAAAATGAACTCATTGCCACTAATAATATATGTAGAGGTACAATTCTCATATGCTAATAAGCAAACATCAATTTTCTTTTTGTTTCAGTGGACGGAAACTGGTGCTAGCTATGCTCGTAAATTCCAAGTTTGTCAAGTACGGGAACGCAATCAAAACAATTGGATCCGTTTACCGCACATCAAACATAACAACGCAAACTTAATTATTGTAGATTTAGAATTTACCATGTACTCGTGTGAACAGGCATCTGGCATTGTCTCCTGCCGGGAAACATTTGATCTATACTATGCTGATGTGAATGGTTCAATCGAAAGCATACTACCTTTTACCGCGCCTCCTTATACAAAAATTTCACGTATTGCAGCGGACGGACGGTTTTCAGATCCAAGCGCGGATAACGAAGTGGTTAATAAGGTAACTGAACGCTTTGGACCTATCCGAAGCAATGGTTTTTATCTTGCAATGCAAGACCAAGGGGCATGTATGGCTCTGCTGCGTACACGTATATACTATCGGGTCTGTCCAAAGATCATGATGAACCTGGCTAACTTCCCAGAAACAGTTACTGGTGATTATGTTACATCGTTGGTTGAAGCTCGTGGTGCATGTGTACCTAACTCTAAGAAAGTTGGCGTTGAGGATCCTACCTACCAGTGCCAAAGTGATGGTACGTGGACTGTACTCCAAGGCGAGTGCCTATGCTCTGAAGGTTATTTTCAGACGGAGAACCTTGCAGCATGTGAAGGTAAGACAATTTTCATTTCATTCAACTACTTACATAATATTTCATTGCATTCCTGATGATGACATAATTAATGTCGATATATTGAATCCCAACACGATGGCGTGTATTTCAATACTTGGAGTATGTATTATACTTTCTTATCTGAGATTAATCAGTGGACCTTTCGGGTTTGGGAGGATTCATTCAAGAATATTTTAACTCAGTGATTTTTGCAGTGCATCCTAGAAGGCAGGGGCATATTGTACAGTAATTTTTATGTTGATTACTGAACATTTAATTTCAGATTTGTTAATGTTATATGAAAGTATTAGCATTATTGTCTCTACAGTACCGGCCAGTTGTATTGCAAAAATTCAACGCATTCAACACGTTGCGTTTTCGTTGACAACGCGTTGGCGTTTTCGTTGGCGTTGTCGTTGAAACTGTTGACGTCGTTGAGAGCTCAGAAATAGTTTATTCTGAATTCAACGCAAAGCGTTGAATTAACAGTTACTGAATAAACACATGTACAAAACAGACGTTTGTTTATTACGGAAAACAATCTGTCTCTTATACACATCTAGATGTGTATAAGAGACAGGTGCATCCTAGAAGGCAGGGGCATATTGTACAGTAATTTTTATGTTGATTACTGAACATTTAATTTCAGATTTGTTAATGTTATATGAAAGTATTAGCATTATTGTCTCTAGGAATGCTGGATTTTTAAATATCTACACTTGTGGCCTCACTGGATGTGCCCTTTGGAATGAAATTACACTTTTCAATCATACAATCGTTTAGTTATGGTATGAGAATTTATTAGCTGTGGAATGTAAATTGAAACGATAGCCTGAATTTGGCTATGCAATCAACCGTAATTAAAAACCTATGCTCTAATTTAGACACCTATACTTGCCTTTGTTACAATTAGGCCAATATTATCTTCATTGACAGTTGTTTGTTTTGTTGCCTGGCTTGGCTATTTTGACATTGATAGACAGCCCTTGCGTTTGTTTTTTACAACTTATAATTTTTCAGTTGGTTACCATAGAACATTGCAGCGTTTCTACTCGTTCAATTCTCGTCAAATTTCATCAACGAAGTGGTACAAGCAACAACAAAAAATAATGATTTTCATAACTTGTCGTTATAATATGTTTACATAAATTAGTCACATGTCATTGGTCACATGATGTCAGTATAATGACCTCTTTGTACGGTGTCAAGCTGCGTTAATTCTCAATGCCTTTATCAGCGAGTTTTCTTGTCAAGAAAACAGGTGAGAGTTAATGAACCAGAGATAACAAGAGGTGGAAATTTCTTTTGATTATTTCATATTAAGGAGCTCGATGACCAGAAGTAATAGTGGTTAAAAACGCTAGCCTTCTCGATTGCTCATATCAGTAGCAGTGTCTTTGTTAATGGGTGCCAGGCTACAATGATCCCCTGCTTAATGTAAAGTAAAGTACTTCCATGTCAAAACATAATTTGTAATAGATCTGACTAAAACCTGTTGAGTCCTATGCCAGGTTGTCATAATCTTTACAGTGCAGGAACTGGAGTGGAAATCTTATGCTAAATTGGAATGCTCACACTTGACTTACTTTTCTTACTAACCACTCTTGATATCAATGTCCAAATAGTTGCATTACATCTAAGGTTTTAGGTAATATATGTTCACTAAACTTCAATTATATGATTTAATTATTTATATTAGTTAATTGGTTAGTAAATAATCCCTAAATTGCCTTTTAAAAGACTTTTTATACTCTGATAGATTAATAATTTTGTTTTATTCATCTATGAAATTGAGTATGGGTGCAGTGTTACTGTTTATGAGGAAATAATTTTAGGTTATTTACATTTTTGTATACGTGGCAAGATGACAAGTAGTTGATATTAACTTATTTCCCTTCATTAATATTTTAATGTGTTATTCATTATCTTTTAAAGGCTTTCTAACTAATACGTTCTACATAAGGACATAATGGTTGCTCATGCAATATGTCAGTACAGTAATACAATATGTGATAAATTTTGTATTGCAGAACTAGGTGATTATTTACAGATAATTGATTAATTCTTTAATTGCCATTTTCACAGGCTATTACACTCTACACTATTGATTGATTCAGCAACATAAAAGTCAAATCATTTTAATTTCATCTTCCTGGTCAGGTAATTTCTTTTCTGGCTACCATTGGCACTTTAGTGAATTTCATGGGTTTTGTGGCATCAAATTATATCATTTTTGAAGATGAATTAACTTACTTTAGGTTCTAAAGTTCCTGTGTTAATAATAATACTAATAATAATAATGAAAAAAAATAAAATAATAATAATAATAATAATTATTATTATTATTATTATTATTATTATTATTATTATTATTATTATTATTATTATTATTATTTATAATAACACAGGAAGAATATTAACACAGGAATAATACAGTAATAATAATTCATGAGATTTATAGTCCTCATTAGATAAGTCCTACAGATTATTTATGATCTTGTGTGCTTGGTGATTTATGCAATCTTCATTTCTTTTATAAAGTGAAGAAATTAAAAAGTCATTTGAAGTGTTTTGGACTAATGTACATGTGTACAACTTTGTAATATTAGTAAGCAACGTCTATTCCATTGAGAAATATTCAATTCATTGCTGTACCATCTGTGAACTGTGCACAAAATTAATTATAATAAATATCACATGAAGGTTAACTTATATTCCATACATACGGTATACAGAGCATTGTACAATTTTAAACAAAGGTATAAAAAAATATACTCAGTAATGAGAGAAAATTATACTGAAAACGTGTAGAAAAAATAGTGGCACCTACACCCAATTCCGTTTCAAATCAGGCACCCCAGACAGGTACCTATTTACACTGTTTGGTAGGTAGAGGGGGACTCATTTGGACACATGTTGCTTGGGTCCAAAGACAACATGATCAAGGTTGTTCTTAAACTCATGACCACCAGGTTGGTAGCCCATACACTGTCCAACTGCAAAATCAGCCTCTGTTCCATCAGTCTTACCTGTAGATGATGCAGGTGTGTTTTTAAGTAGGTGAAAGTCCTTTTGAACTATAATAAAAGAACTTCCTTGAGAGGGATGTTGGGATGAGAGCCAGTGAAGATTTAAAAAAAAAATAGAAGTTTACTCAGACTGATGAGTGTCGGAATCAATGGTAGCATAGGATTAGTGTCCAAGGTTGTTCCACTTGCCTACTCAATTATCCATGGATTACTCTTAGCCTATTCTACTACATTACCTGTAAAAGTGGATGATGCTTTAAGTACATAAATGCTACTATTCACTTCACATGTATTTAAAGATGTCATTAGGAGACATACTTATGGGACATAGTGACAGTCTGCCTGACCCTAGGGTAACATTTTGTAATGTTCTGCAGATAGTATTCAGAGTAAATAACATTTATTCAATCCTACCAGGTACTAAGATCTTAAGTGTACATGATGCCAGAATGTAATTTAAGAAAAAAGTTCGTCATCTTCCTACATTCTCGCAGTTTTTAACTTTCACAAAAAAAAAACAAAACAACAAAACCTTGTAGAATTCATGTTAAATATATCATGTTTAATAAAATTATAAATATAATTGGTTGCATGTGCCCTGAGGTTAGTTTTTCATATAGGATACTTTATAAATGTACCTTTCTTTTTGTTAATTAAAAAAAAACTTAATGCCACTCTTTCAAAATCTAAAATAAAACTATTTTTTTCACCTAGTCATTACAAGAATTACTTAACACAATTACACATGAGGCCTATATATTTTCTGAGACTCAAAGTTATTTCAAGATTAAGCTTGTTAATCTGTTTGTTACAATAGCAGACAGGTGAACCCTAGTTAATTGAATCCACATGATCCTGTTAATCCTTAATCCTTAAACCACTATAATTGACAGTCCTTGTCCTGAACCTAATCCCCAGGTGGCTGGTTATCCATGTTTTTTTCCCTGTTCATATTGTGCACAAGTTTTTGGTTCATACTATATGTTTAAAGCCCATTGTTTATGTTGTGACCATTGTCTCTGAATATTTTTATGAGAAGTGTTCACCTGTGTTTCAAAACATTATTATAATACTGTGTAACAGTAATGAATACTCGTATACGTAAAATGTTGACTCTGATAGTGTTTCTAAAGTCAACATTTTACGAAAGAAATAGTCAAAGGCTTAGATGGAACAAAACAACAATCAATCAAATTTTTTTGTGTCCATGTTTATATAAATAAATAAAAAGCGAGGTTCAACAGTAGCTTTGATTAGACATTTTATTACTACTTAGTTTCGTACCACA